TCAATGAATCCGAATTAAATTATAGCAAAACAACTAAATTAATGCATTTAATTCAGATGTTTGAAGCATCAGAAGTAACGAATGATCCAAATTGATTTGTGAACAGCTTGTTGTTAAGGAGTGGGCAGCCGCTGCATCCCTAACTACCATGACACATCTGCTGTCAGTGGGGTTCCCCGCTGACAAAAGAATGTAAACAAAAGAGCAGGCATAAGAAAAAAAAAAAAAAAATAGCATGGGGATCCCTTAAGGGGGCCCTTCAGGTCTGGTATGCATTTTAAGAAGAACCCCATGCCAAAATTAAAAGAAAAACAATGTGGGGTCCCCCCAAACCATACCAGGCTTTGGGGGAGGAGGCTCCTGTTTACCTGTTATTCGGTGTGTGCCGGGTCACAGGACACTGCCTGAATGACAAGCAAACATGGGGGTGGGGTCATCCGGAGACCTCACCAAATGACCCAACCCCCATGTTTACCTGTCTATGGCATGTTACGGGACACGGGAGCAGACGTGTTTGGTGATCAGCTTAAAGTGTTACTAAACCCAGGACCCTGCACTCACAATATCTGGTCTCCCACAGTACACAGAACATGGAAATGACATTTACGTCCTTTTTTTGCACAAATAGAGCTTTCTTTTGGTGTTATTTGATTGACTGTGCGTTTTTTTATTTTCTGTGCTATAAAAAAAAAAAGACTGACAATTTTGAGAAAAAAACAAACAATATTTTTGACTTTTTGCTATTAAACATGCCCAGTAAAAAAATTTAAAAAAATCACATTTCATCATAAATTTAGGTCAAAATGTATTCTGCTACATGTCTTTGCTAAAAAAAATCCCAATACATGTAAATCAATTGGTTTACATGAAAGTTATAGCATTTACAAATGGCGGTATATATACTGGGCTTTTTATTTTTATTTTTACTAGTAATGGCGGCAATCAGTGACTTATAGTGGGACTGCGGTGGGTATTCTGACACTGGGGGGAACTGACTTGGTGTCACTGACATCCCCAGTGACACCAATACAGTGATCAGTGCTAATAAAAGCACTGACATTGTACTAATGGCACTGGGCAGGAAGGTGTTAACATGTGGGCTAATCAAATGGTTAACTGTGTGCTGTTTTACTGTGTGCTGTGTGTGTGTGCTTTACGGTAAGCACTCTGCTTTGTATTTTGCAAAACAGTGCACAGGGAGCCGACAGGGAAGATACCCCGAGGAAGTCACGAGTTGTCAGTGACGTAACGCGTAGGTTTGCGAGTCCGCAGTCTCCAGTGCGCGGTGACGCACTTCCGGCGTACGACGCCATCTTGCTATACCCAGGAAGTCCCAATTCACATGCAGTGTACCCACACATCGGTGAGGAGGGAGGACTGCTCAGTTATGTGAGTTATGCTACTTTACATTTTGGAATAAAGGAGTCATTAATACTACACTTAGAGGGTGTTTTCTTTCTTGGCTCACTGGATTGGTGAGCCACTGTTCTTCAGAGGCACCTTGGCTGAATAAGGGAAATAGGAGGCCCACCAGGAAATACAAAGAAGGAAGAAAGTTGTTGGCCCATTTGATTTTAGGATCCAGGTTGATCCTACAAGCCTGTTGGCCCTTAGGGGTCGCAGGGAGGAGGTGAGGAGGAAATCTAGCCACTGTTTGGAGAAGATTTTGGCACAAATCACTTATTGATCATCACCATATATTGCATGAATTTATTTATCACTTGATGGACATTTTATATATTGATTTGTAGAAGGATTGGACATATATATTTTTCTGCAGTAATTTTGGCACTTTAGCACTGTTTGATATATATATAGGTTGCTATAACATTTGGTCACTATTATGTCAATTTTAAGCACGGTATTTATTTGAGACACTTGATTTACTTAGAGTGTGATCACTTGAGTTGTATTTATTGATGCACTATTATATATTAATTGTATATTTATTTCAGTTGATACTAGTTATGGTTTTTTAAGATTTATATAATATCACTTATTTTTTTATATATATTTATTTATTTATTTTGAGCGCCACACTATATATTTATTTATGTTTTTACACTACACTAGGTATTAGTAGGTGAGTGTTGGCAGCTTTATATTAATTGTTTGCCATTTGTAGCAGGAGGATTTTCTAGATTATTTAGGGAAGAGAACTGTATTGTTTACATACAGTTCTCTCCCTCCGTCGGTAAAGCTCCTCGATCACCAAGTGATCACTGGCCGGGACCCGGTGATTGACAGCTGAGGCTGCGTATAGCGGCACGGGTAGGGCACACTACCCCATACTCATACACATAAGAAGGGGTCGGGGGCCAGGATCTGGAAGCTCCCTTATTAAAGGGGGGTTCTAGATTCTGATAAGCCTACAGACCCCACAACCACCACAGAAGGTTGAGGGAAAGAGGCCCTTGTCCCCATCAAATGGGGGCAAGGTGCTTTGGGGGGGAGCCGCCCTCCTCCAAAGCACCTTGCCCCCATGTTGAGGATATGTGGCCTGGTATGGTTCAGAAGTGGAGGGGCCACTCGCTTATCCCACCCTTTCTTGATCTGCTGGGCTGTATTGGATAAGAGTTTGGTATGGATTTTGGGGGGGACCCTACGCAGTTTAAAAAATGCTTTTTTCACCAGCACTTTTTCTGTATACATTCTGCTGTCACCGAGCAATCCCTCTGACAGCAACTGAGTCATGGTTGGTAAAGATACAATGGCTCACAGGTTGCCTGCTCCTTAACTACAGTTATTAATCACAATGAATTTGGATTGGATTAGAAAATATCAAATCCGTCTGATCGAAAACAAATCTGTTCAACATAACAAATATGAGCATGCACATATCTAGCTAGAACATGACCTATTCCATTTTTAGTATAATGTTAACCCCACGAAAGGAAAACTATTATCTTTCAATGACTTACAATCTATGCCATGGCTGCTAGAACACCATTCACCTACTTGCAAATTAAACATTATGTACAATCGTTTGCAGATAAATTTATGTTTGTTAACCCCTTTTGATAGAATCTGTTTAGATGGCCCTAAGCTGGCCATAGATGATTCGAACCTCAGTTGGTTCAGCGGGGACCGGGCGAGATTCGAATCATGTATGGGCAGGCTGATTGTACTCAAGTTGATTGATCAACTTGGGTTACAATGGGCCTGTTGGATTTTACATGTGATTATCACTAGTGGCTATTATATGTACTAGCAGTAATTACTTTGTTCTCCCAGCAGGGATGGCTCCTCCCACCCCCCCCCACCCCCACCGGGAGAACACAATGGTTTACCAGAGAGATCCTCCCATGAACACTGATTGTGTTGCTTTATCTGGTCAGCTCTAGATGTCAGCATCTTACATATATAACTGCTGTTTGATACGTCAATTTTCTTAGATCTGGCTCACTTCCTCCTGGGGCTGCCCATACCGAACACAGCCAAATCAGCATGTCAGGAATGGACTCAGCACTGGTGGTGGGACTCACCTGCCGTGTGGGCTGCAGTACCAGGGCTGACCAGCGGGTGCTTTCAGCAGCCAGAAGCTCATTTCTGCAATCAGCCAAACCTGGGGCTGATTGCAGAAGGTGTATTTAAGGGATGGCCAGACCTGCAGTCTGGGCCTTGGTGTATGTTTTCCCATGAGCCCCTGTACCTGGTATCCTGGTTTCCTGCTTCGTTGCTGACCCTGCTTGATCCTGACCTCTGCTGACCGTCTCCTGTTGAACCCCCTGGCTTGCCTGACCATCCTTCTGCCTGATCCCCTGTACCACGCTGCCCGTGAGTTACTGAACCCAGCTTGTGACCCTGACCATTCTCTGCCTGCTCCTTTGGTACCTTGCTGCCCGCACGTTGCTGACCTGGCCCGTCTGACCACGTTAACTACTCTGCCATCCATCCATCCTGCACGGATCCAGCTGTCCCTGCTCACACCTTCTGCCTCTTCACATCAGGCTTTCTACCTGCACATACCTCTGGCGGATCCCTCTACCACTAGCAGGTGTACTCAGGGGCTGCGACCTGGTTCCTGTCTGCTCCAAGTCCATCCCCACCATCAGGGGCCCTGGTGAATAAGCAGACTGGGACTTAGACTCCGCGCCCCTGGGGAATCCTGTCCTGAGGACCGCTAGAAGTACCACCAAACGGTCATTACAGAACCCTACGGACGGCCTGACCATTCCACCTCTCCAGCCCTGACTACGCCTGTGTTCCTGCACGTACTAAGATTAGTGGAAGGTTGGTTTGTTTTTCTCTGTGAGTTATATATCTGGGTGGCTAATCATAATTATATTGTACCTGAAGTCTGCATTTCCCTGTGTCAGTCCACACCTTTCTGGTCACTCCTAGATTCCTGACATCACACCAAGGCCTTTCTTGACCAGAAGTGGCTGCACAGGGAAGCCATCTTGGCTTGTTGTGAAGGATGCATCCTGAGGAGGTTGAGTATTTGTCTCTGCTAGTCTTTGATGACAGAGAATATGCCTGTCAGATTCTGCAGGAGTATACCCGGGATCAGCTGCTAGAGTGTATACGGGTCGCTCATTCCCTAGTAGGTCAGGGCATAGAGTTCTCTGAGGTGCAACCACTGATTCAGGCTTGTGTTGAGTTGGCTTCATCTAGTACCCCTGAAAGCAGGGATGACTTCCTTCCTCCATTCAGGGTGAGTCAAATAGTATCACTGGTATGGTTGTTGGAGGATGATCCGGATTGCTTCTTGGAGCATTATTCAGCATGTTCACCACATGTGCTAAAGAAGTGTATAAACGCAGTGCAATCTTTGACCAGACAGGCCTTGTGTAAGCTGAGCGTTGTCCAACCCTTACTGCAGACATGGTCAGACTTGTTACACCCAGCCTCAGTCAGCCTGCAACAAACCAGTCCTGCTTCTCATCATTCTTCTGCTCAAAGCTCTTTTCCTGCATTCCCGACAGCACCCCCAGTGACAGCCCAGTATACCCTACTATCTACCAAATGTCAGTACCCTGCTCCCACTTGCTGTACCATCCTGCCAGTTGACTTGATGCCTGATGACCCGGTGCCCGTTGTCGTGCCAGTTGACTCGGTGCCCGCTGCCGTGCCAGTTGACTCGATGCCTGATGACTTGGTGCCCGTTGTCGTGCCAGTTGACTTGGTGCCCGTTGTCATGCCAGTTGACTTGGTTCCAGTTGACTCGGTGCCAGTTGACTCGGTGCCCACTGTCGTGCCAGTTGACTCGGTGCCCGCTGTCGAGCCGGATGACTTGATGCCTGATGACTCGGTGCCCGCTGTCACGTCAGTTGACTCTGTGCCCGCTGTCGAGCCAGATGACCTGATGCCTGAGGACCCAATGTCCGCTGTTGAGCCCCATGACCCGATGCCAGTTGACTCAGTGCCCACTGTCGTGCCAGTTGACTCGGTGCCCGCTGTCGAGCCGGATGACTTGATGCCTGATGACTCGGTGCCCGCTGTCGTGCCAGTTGACTCGGTGCCAGTTGACCGCTGTCGAGCCAGATGGCCTGATGCCTGAGGACCCAGTGCCCGCTGTTGAGCCACATGACCCGATGCCTGATGACTCGGTGCCCGCTGTCGTGCCAGTTGACTCGCTGCCCGCTGTCAGGCTTGGTGACCCGGTACTCGCGGTTCTGCTAGATGGCTCGGTGCCCGCTGACATGCCCGGTGACTCGGTGCCCGCTGACTTGCCAGGTGACTCTGTGCCCGCGGTTCTGCTAGATGGCTCGGTGCCCACTGACGTGCCGGTGACTCGGTGCCCGCTGTCGTGCCAGATGACTCGGTGCCCGCTAACGTGCCTCTGCCCGCTGTGCAGCCCGACATGCCAGCCCCTGATGTCCAGCTAAACGGGCCAATAACTGATTCCCAGCCTGCTCCTGGAAATCCTGTGCCCAGTGACCTGCCTTCCTGGGTTCTCCTACACAAAGAGAAGTCTACCAGCAGGAAACCCAGCCAGCCGGTTTACTCCGGCAGTAGGATATTCAGCCAGTTACCTGACCCGGGCGGTGGAACTTTTTGCCCACTAAGGACTGTTTGGAGCGTCCTGAGGCCGCTCCTTGAGGGGGGGGGGGGGTACTGTCAGGAATGGACTCAGCACTGGTGGTGGGACTCACCTGCCGTGTGGGCTGCAGTACCAGGGCTGACCAGCGGGTGCTCTCAGCAGCCAGAAGCTCACTTCTGCAATCAGCCAAACCTGGGGCTGATTGCAGAAGGTGTATTTAAGGGATGGCCAGACCTGCAGTCTGGGCCTTGGTGTATGTTTTCCCATACCCATTTCCGGATCCCTCTACCACTAGCAGGTGTACTCAGGGGCTGCGACCTGGTTCCTGTCTGCTCCAAGTCCATCCCCACCATCAGGGGCCTGGTGAATAAGCAGACTGGGACTTAGACTCCGCGCCCTGGGGAATCCTGTCCTGAGGACCGCTAGAGGTACCACCAAACGGTCATTACAGAACCCTACGGCTGGCCTGACCATTCCACCTCTCCAGCCCTGACTACGCCTGTGTTCCTGCACGTACTAAGATTAGTGGAAGGTTGGTTTGTTCACTGTGAGTTATATATATCTGGGTGGCTAATCATAATTATATTGTACCTGAAGTCTGCGTTTCCCTGTGTCAGTCCACACCTTTCTGGTCACTCCTAGATTCCTGACACAGCATATCCTAACTGAAGCTAGGTGATTGATAATTTGAAGTGGAAGCAACAGCTGCCACCCCTCCAAAGCAGATAAATGTATTCATGATGTTTATAATATGGATTATTTGGTTCGGCTTCACAATACCAATCCCACATTAAAGAAAATGTGGCTCCCCTGGCACCTTTTAGATGTGTCTTTGTCTTATCTGTAAAGATACCTCCCTAATACCCTCTTGAGCTACCTGGAAGTGTTCGGGATTATCTGGCAGAGTAAATCATACCCCCACCCACCTCCTCCCTGGCCCCATCTGTAAGCCATGTACCGGGGTGGGCTCTCCAGGATACAGTGAAGTCACGAATGAGGAAAGCAACCCCAACACCAACTTTTGCCACAACAGTATTTTACTTAGATGTGGCAAGTAAACACAACCTCAAATGCTGGGAACATACAATAAATTTACATACACCCAGCCCAAAGGCTGAGACCCTTGTGCTGCACAGCACAGCGCCTCCTAATGGATGAAGGTAGAAAGAGAAGTAATTTATCCTACTGGTGGGCACAAATAAGCTGCCACACCTTACCCGTTATTACCCTAAGAGAGCAGGAATCAGTGTATGGGTGTATGGTATGGGCTAGCCTGCAGTGCAGCACAACAGCTTACAATCTTACACAAATCTACATTATTCCCCCTCCCATAACTGGTCCTGTAGCACGTGCCTGAGTATTCCTTCTGAGCAAAACGCCAGTCTGGCTTGAGTTTGTGGGATTTTATCAGCTCTCCAATGTGAAATGTCACTTTAAGTTGTGGAGTCCTTGCAATAATCGGTAACAACACTTGTGGCCTGACACAAACAGAGACCCTAACTAACTATAGGCCTGGACTCAGTCTATAGGCACCAACACTGATATGAGGTGCGTGCACGATCTTACCGACCCGTGTCTGCTTTGCATCCGCTGGTGACTCTGAACAGAACAAATGTCTCTCCAACAAGCTTGCGATATTGCAGTGTATGCTGCGTTGTTCCTGTGCTCTCATCAGCATTACTGGCAGCAATATTCCTTTCTCTGAACAGGATCAGGGTCTTGGACGCGATCAGGTTCACTTAGCCACAGCTTGGTTACCGAGGGAAGCTCCCACACCTGGATGTCATCCAATTCTCAGCTCACACGGCCCCTTCATTCAGCACTGTTCAAATCATGGCTGCAGTCTCCTCTTCCTGTTCACTCCAACTCTGTGTGAAAACTCCACTTCTTCATGAATATGCAAATATCTATGCAGTCTGAGGCTGTGTTAGAAAAACAGTGACATCTTGTGGCTAAAACCGCAGAATGTCAGTCAAAACATTAATTTACTTCCACACAATCAGTGTTCAAACAATGAGAGCTGTTTCCCATCTCACACATCTTCTTTCCTTCTTTTTTTTTTACTTCTTTTGTTTTTTGTTCCTCTGTTATTCTTTTTATTCAAGACCTGGTTGTACAATTTTTGTTTCAGTAAACACCTCTTTTTGACTTCACACACAATCTAACTGTGGAAGTTGTGTCTTAATAATATAATCCATGATCCTAACAATGCTATCTATACAGGTTTATAGCGATATTATTATTAATTCTGTGAGAGTTATGTATTCATATTACTTCATTTTAGTTTGATTTATAGGATTGTATTAGTGCCAATATGGCAACTTCTGGATTTCCACTACATGATGCTTATCGTCGATATGCTGGTGATACTCTACGCCATTGTTGGAACAACTCTTTTACCGTGTACTGAGATCTGCTGTAACCACTGTACATTTTTCTAGATCTATCAATAAATAGAAAGTAAAAAATATAAAAAAGCACTTGTGGGTTTAACCAATCATTGT